TTTTCCACGACATTCTAATTTATTGAGATGCACCTGTATATGAAGGAAATTTTGAATTATTTGGACAGTTGTCTACCTGCAGTCCAACTCTGATCTTCTTGGTGAGCGCACCCTCAGGGAAAGAGGCCTGGACCAGAGGTACTGTCATGCTGGTCAGGACCCCTCCATCTGGACCCATCTGATTACTCTCCTGTTTAATCCGTGATACCACTGCAAAGTATTGTGGGAAATCCTTTGTGATGATCCGGCAGATACGCTTCTTCTCCAGGTCTGCTGTGTTGTCAAGCTCTGTAGAGTACACAAGTATTATGTGAGATTGATTTCAGGAAGCATTTAAATTACATATTTTACAGAAGCAAACAAAAACTAGTATTTTTAATTTCCTGAAGGAAATGTTAGTGGTGTTTGCCTATGCAAAAGTTGGCATCATGATGCTACAGTCTTGCAGTGGTGATAAATGTGTTGCTATGTTGTTGTAATGAATGTGTAACCCAAATGTTCATTTAATTTCAACACATTTGTGTATGGCACATGCTGTCTCTAAATTGTATTGTCTGTAAATATCTATGCATTATATCAGACATTGGCCTTCCTGCCTTCTAGATATTGCCATCACCTCTGAAAAACTCAAGTCCGTCGAGCACTAATCAACACTCACTATAGGCTTGTCTGAATCTCATCGTGCACTAGTAAGGTCAGTAACAGTGCAAATTTAACAATCATCATTTTACCTTCATCCATGCCATTGAGGAGCTCAACGAGGTCTTCAGATTTGCAGTCATAATGATGCTCTTTCCAGGTCTCACCGTTTTCGCTCCTTAACATAATGAGCTCTCGCTCTTTCCCTCTCATGGACCCAAAATGAGGGATCTCCACAATCACAGGGCTGTGAAAACACATTGCAAGCCTTTATCAGTGGAACCTCTCAGACTAATAAATGTGAGACGACGAGACACACAAATGCTGATGATGACTTTAGTAAATGGCGATGACGAACATTCATGGAACATTAGTGCAAAAGAGGGGCACTTGGCAAATGCATCTGATACTAATACAGGTAAACTTTAGTGGTTTCTATTATGAACCCAAGAGGACAGATGCAGAAGTGATTTTATCAATGTTTTAGTTTAGCATAACAGGTTTTTTTTTTTTTTTTT